TGGTCATAACCACTTCTATGGAGTCTACTCAACAAATCACGCAGATAGATGACTCGAGGCATATCCTTACTAGTACAAAATTATTTTGACTTTCAAAATTAGTAGTATAATTAATATAAACTTAACTCTTTGTGAGCTTGATTCAACATTAAATTTTCCCACCTTGATAAACAATTAAGAAATGTGGATAGGTTTTGATTTTTAAGTATAGGTTTCTCATTTAACTATCATTTTTTTATGATTTAAAATATTTTAATTTTATGTGTGGACCCCTCCAATTGAAATTCACAATCAACGCAATCATAATTGAGGAATAAACTATTTAAATATCATTAAAGTATTAGTTATGTTAAATCTGGTCCTCATAAGGAGGGAGGATCTGATAAATATGTCAGGATCTCAGTCTTGTCAACTCTGATTCTAATTTGAAGGAACTGTGAGCTCAGTCTTATCAGTTTCTATCCCTATATAGAGGAGGATCAGACTGACCAAAATGTGTAAGACTTACGAGCTTGCCCTATACGAACGATGGCCCTTTGCCTGCACATCATTCTCATACCACTTGCATAAACATTTAACAAACTAGTTGGAGCATATGTGGATTGATTCAAGTTATTTTCAAATAGCTTTACACATGTTTTAAAATGAATTTGATTTGAACTTAAATATATATTTGACCCATGCAGCATTCTAGGTCTATAAGTTTAGGAATTTAGTATGATTTTCGGAGCACATGCTTGTATTTAGAACTTATAGTGCGTAATCATTTTCAACTTATTTATATGATCTACTCTCAAGAACCTTGAGACATTTGATGTTCTTTAAGGTTGTGTGCTTGACTCGAAATCAATTATATCATGCACAAATTTTAAGGCACTTAACTTTCTTCAAGGTGAACTTAATTTGACATTGATAATTTTAAGGAATATGCATGTTAGAAAGTGCAAATTTTCTTTTTAAGACCTTCAAATTTGCCTTCTATCTACTATTATAAAAGTAGTACAGATCCAGTAGCGAGCATGTGGAAAGTTTCACTTCAAAACTCTCAATATTGCCTTCTATTCACTTGTAGATGTGCGTGTGTGAATCCGGTGGTGAGCATGTGAAAGGCTTCACTCTAAATCCCTCAATATCGCCTTTTTTCTGCTTTTACATGCGTGTTGCAGATTTGGTGTGGAGTGTGTGAAAAGTCTCATTTTGAACCTCTCGATATCGCCTTATGTTTCTTTCAATTGTGTATTGTGGATTTGGTGGTATTAAGACCTAGAGCTTTGTTAGCCGCATTCAAATAAAATTTTGGCAACCTTACAGTGTCATCACTGCTTGAGGGACTACATCATAAAGCTAGGTCTTATCAGTAATAAGATGTACATGATTGGTGTCATATGATACTTCAACCGAAATATATTTTTACCAACCGTACCTAAGAAGCTGCAAATACCTCCAAAAGAATACAACAAGATTTCCCTGCCAAATAGGAATAACTCGAACACGCATTAATTTTTATTTTTATAATTTTAGTATCATTTTATTATTCACTTTTACCAATATGCTCGGTCCCACCAGTCTGAATTTTGGCAGCCTCCCGGCGTCATTCCCACCTGGGAGCTACCTCACATACTGGGTCTTACCACCACACCTAACAAGATGTGTGTGGTTGGCATCATACGATATCGTCACCAAAATTTAATTTTCACCACATCAAACAAGATGCGTGAAAGCCTTTAATACCTGCAAAGTAGCACAACAAGATTTCCTCACCGGGTTCGAACAACCCGAATGAGTATTTATAATTAGATTTTCCCATCCAATTGGAACAACATAAATGAATACTTATAGTTGGATTTCTTTGTTAGGTTAGAACAACCAGAACAATTACTTATAACAAGGAAGTTTCTTTGTCTCATTGGAACAAAGAGAACAAGAATTTAATGTTCTTGTGTATATCTTTCCTCTCAGTGAAGTATGAGTGAAAATGTGATGAAACTTAATATGATTTAATACCTGGGAATATCCTTCTGATTTGAAGTTTTAATAATCAACATTTAGCTTTCACTTTTTGTGGCGTGAGGATTAATTTCTACTTTCATTGTGTTGACATAGGCAATAAAACCATCTCCATTCTCATAAGTCTTCTAATCCATATGCAACTCAAATTGAACCCTTCTATTAGTGTGGAATACAATGCAAGCCATAGATTCAAGAAATCCATTTAAATTTGCTTTTCCCAATATTCCATAAATTTTGTATGGCAAATTTAGCTTCTGCTTCTGACTATTTTAGAGGCGGTCTGACTCCGTTTCATGGCTTCAATAGTTTACTGTACCGACCAGCCTATGCTTATTTTGAGGAGCTCACACATTAGCTTAGGCATGTACTGGCTTGAGAGTTGATATAGAAGTAGAGCAGATTTTGCCTTTTGAAGTTACTCCATGAGAGCCCAATGCTTGAGGTTCTTTAGCTGATGGCCCTTGATAATATGTTTAGAGAAATATTAAGAGTGTTTCCCGTCTCTTCTCAGCTTGAGAAGATGAAGTTGACAACTCCTTACAATGAAAACCTTTTATTTTTAAGGAGCTGAAGTGCATGCTGTCCCCCTAAGCGAACATGGAACAAGAGAGCTGGACATAGGAACTTTGGCTTGGAGTAAGAGCTTCAGGCTGGGATAGTGAGTTGAGTAGGATGGGTTTGAGTGTGGTTGGGTTTATTATCATTTGAGTGACTTTGACGATCGTCCCTCATAGGTGTTCCATTGATTTCATCTTGCTTACTCCTTTTGATTGTAGAAGACTCCTCTCTATACAATTTTGATAGTTTGGATGAGCTTGTGTGGTTTATTTTGTGATCAGTTGTCTTTTCAGCAACTTTGACGACAATCAAAATGATTTGGGAGTAAATCACATACATCGCAATAGCAATTTGTTGTTTTCATCTTCTTTCAATCATGAAGACTCCTCTCGAGATAATTTTAATCCTCTGAATGCATCAACAAAGTATATTTTATCAATGGGCATTGTGTAGATCAAAGTTGATAGATGTGAAGGCATTTCGCATTTAGTCGTGTGATTTCACACTAATCGTTTGCTGCTCTTGTCATGTTTGATCGGCTTGTCATGAAGAGTATGTGTGATGGTCAACAATATGCTAGCCAATGATATTTTGCACCCACAGTTCAGGTCACATTCTTCTCTTTTAATAGTTGAACAACTAAGTAAATAATTTATTATTTTTTGGACCTTAAATTCATTAGAACTTCTTATCCATTGCATTCCAATGATTGTAATCAAACTTCCATCAACATTTGACAACAAATATTTAATGCATCTCTTCATAGTCATTTGGTCTTCATTTTTATAAAGAAAACATTTAAATCATTTTAAAACTCCCAACTTTCGTTGTTTCTTATTTATAGTTAGCTTAATTATTAATGCATAACATCCAATATCCTCCAATCATTAATATTTGATGCAATTCTTTATGGTTGCATTCTCTTTCCTCCTTTAAGAAGAATTAATTAAGCTAACAAATCAATATTAATTGCATGATTTTTTATATTCCATATCAACCATCACTTAACTACCACTAACATCAGGTTCCCATATTTATGATTATCAGATGACCCCTTTTATAAGAATAATTTGTTAGTTAATTAAAGGCATTTTAAATTTAATGATTATTAACTATTACTAATGACTAACATATGTTTTGTCAATTTACCAATATTTTATGCCCATTTTAATCTTAAATTTTCTCTTCTTCTTTCTTAAATAAATAATGATCTTGTTGCCACTTAATGTTGCTTAGCATCCAACATTATTTGTTGATTGTCACACTCACCTATCAATATTTCATATTTGATGTTTGATTCACTTCATTTAGGTTAGTATCGAATCTGCCATTTTTTAAAGGAGATTAAATAAGAAGTTCACCTTGTGTCACCCAATATTTAATCCTTTATCAATTATAGCTTCATGTCCTCTAACATCTAACATATGCTAGCATATGATATTTGATGCATACCTTTTTTGTTGGTCAATCCCTCTTCTTATAAAAAAAAAAATAGACATGATTGCTTTTTTTATCCAATCTTTAACATTCCTTATTGATCGTTCCTTAATCCCATCATATACTAATGATTGCCATCTGCCACTCGTTAATGTTTGATGCAAGTCTTACAAATTACCTAACTTCCTCTCCTATTAAGAAGAATGAGTAAGTTGACCACTTGATTTAGCTTAACCTTTAAACTTTCTCATCAAATGTGGTCTAACAAGTTAACTAAATTATGTACTTTATTTTTCTTGTCTCATAATCTCATCCTCTATAAGTAGAGAGATCATGTCAACAATCATTTGACTTAATAATATCACTAATATTAAGTTTTTTAAGTAAAACACACATTTTCATTCATATATATTTTTAATAGAATTATTACAATTAAATGTAATATAAGCAAATATTACAATTTGGTGTTAAATATATAAATACACATGACTTAAGCAAAGTTATTTACATCGCTTTCTAAATTTTGCCAAAAAATTTAATTTTCAGGTATTGTCTTGCAATTCAAAAACAAAAAATCTTAAGGCATATACAGACATACCACCAAATTCCTATGTATTTACATATCTAACACCTAAACTTTGCTTCTTACATTTATTCTATCCAAACCTTTTGTAGGACAAACAAAATGCCATCATCTTAACTTTTAGAAAGTGAAATATTCTTTTTCATGCTTAGGAAAGGACACATTTATTTAAAAATTGAAAAATTTAAGCGTTAGATCTATAAATAGGAGTGGTATGTATGTAAAACTTCCTAAGAATATTAATGATATCATTACAAATTCTTGTTTCGGTAGGGTCAAATCAAGTAATTTCTAGCATATTAGTTGATATATCAATATGTGGAATCTATACAAATCGCTAATTTGAATTTTTCTGAGCTAATCTAAGGATGTTATTTCAAATCTTCATTACTTCATCGAACCAGAAAAAAGTTTCGAAGCTTGCACGTTAGAAATGGACACTTGTCGTCCGTAGATATGCGTTTTGCTAAAGAACTTGGCAGATTTTGAAGTAGTCTCAAATCCGTGCTAAGCCAATGCATCACAGAATAAAGGCAGAAAGCTTAGCGGGCTGCTCAGAAACCCCAGATGGCAAGAGAGGAAACGAATAAGAATCTTAGGTGCAGACCTCGAATGCTGCTCTTCACGTCGCGACGAAAGGAAAGCCAGCAAATAAAACATGAATTTACCGATCAAGTAAATGATTCAAATTTCTTAAGAATTATCAACAACCACGCCGTTTGTCGAGAATCAATCACAAAATCAAAATCTTTTCTTTTTGCCTTTTGCTCTGTAATCGACATCGGTTGACGAAGAAAAAGAAAAAGGAAAAAAAGATGCGAGCTTGATCGGAAAAAGTTAGGTTTTTTTTTCCTCATCGTTCGATCGAAGAACCAGGGCCGCCGGTCATTAGCCGAGGTGGATTAGACAGCCGCCGCACTTAGGGCATTCCTCGGCTCTCTTCGGAACCATGAAATACATGAAGCAAGACTTGCAGCCGGCGACGACGAGTATTAGGCCACCAGCGCCACCATTCTCACCGCCGGCATCTGAATCGGCGGGGGGGGGAATGTCAGAGTTTCTGCTGTTGGCACTTGAAAGGATGAACTGTCAGAGTTTCTGCTGTTGGCACTTGAAAAATCCTCAAAATCTGTTCCTCCAGCGAAAAACGAGGCGCAGTCTTCAACATCGCCGTCATTGTCTTCTTCATCTTCGATATCTCTTGCATCATCGGAATTACAGTCTTCGGATGAGTAATAGCCCTCCTGAAGACCGGAGGCTGCAATGGAAGGGGTCTCTGTTCTCCTCTCGCCGCTCTCCCAGTTTACATAGAACAGCTTCCCAGTCTGTCAAGAGAAAAACAGAGCAATCATTACATCATAATCTTAAAATAAGTTCAGAACTTGACCAGCAAAGACTAATCTTTCAATATATTGAGAAAAAAAAAAGGAGTAGAGAAGAGAGAGAGAGAGAGAGAGAGAGAGAGAGAGATTAACACATTAAATGATGATGACGGAAGAAGAGGAAAAGAACAGAGATCGAAATAGAAGAAAGCTAACATCGCGCTTGCCAGAGCAGGGCATGCATCTTGGCCCACACTGCAGTAATTAATGGACAATGATTGGTAGAGGAAGCAAACGATCGAGTAAAGAAAAAGAAGAAGAAGAAGAAGAAGAAGAAGAAGAAGAAAGAGTGGGTGGGTAATTTGCAGGCATATACCCTCATGTCAAGGCATTGTTTCCAGTTATTGGAAAAAGCTGTATCAGAGTTCAGCTCCACAGTAACCTCTTCGTTATCCGCCACCGCCACCACCGCCGGCTGATGCGGCGGCGCTGCTCCTCTTCTGTTCTTAAGGGAACAGTTTCTCAGAGATGCGGCAATTGATTTGATGTTTGGGGCAGCCATCTCCGGCGTCGAGAGCTGCACCGGAGAGGGGGAAAGCGACGAGATAGAGGAGATCAGTTGCAGTAACGTGGGATTTGAAAGATGGATTTGTTCTTATAAAAAGAGAGTTTAGGGAAGTTCAGGGTTCAGAACGTGATTATCAGAATCTTCTTTGCCTCCACGGATAGAGTTTTAGAAAACCTTAACAAAATTTATGAATAATATTTCGAAAATATAATGAAAAAAAAAGCAAAACTTTATCTTTGGTCATTTTCAGGGAAAAAATTTTCGTGTGCCTAAGACGTACGCAACATTGCGTACGTTAGGGTTATATAGAGAATACATAAGAGTTATATCTGCGTTATACCCTCTGTAATCTCCCCGTAACCTACTTGTAACCTACAAATATATGAAACAAAACCGTAGAAGTTAATAGAAGGTATAAGTATGTCACATATAGGTCACAAGGAGTTTATAAAGAATATAACGCAGACACAATCGTCATGTACTCTTTGCATGACCCTGACGTACGTAGATCTGAATTTTTCTCCATTTTGAGAGGAGAAAAATGTATCCATCTCCATTAATAATTTATTTTATTGGGCATTTACATACATGCCACTCAACTTTCATATATTTATATCTTAGACACCTATCGATGGATGCATAAATTTATAAAACCAAGATATTATAAAGATAAACATTTAATATTAAGTTTTATGTCTATAAATTTATTTTAATTAAATCTTAGAAATTAGATGTCATTTTAAGCTATATTGTGATTTATAACTATAGACCCAAAAAAGTTTAAAAATAATAAAAAATGGACATGGGAATTTGAATGCAATATTTTTAGAAACAATAAGTAAAGATTAAAAATATGAATATTTAAAATAAAGTTGGTTCTGAATACATGTAAAAAATATAAAATTTGTTTGAAGAAAAATATAATGTATGAAAATTGTTCAATAATTATATTATTTATTTTAAAATAACTATAATAATTTTAAAATTCATCGTGATCAGATTTAATAAAAACATTCTCACTAGCATTATATACATACATACATACATACATACATACATTGTTTAGGGGCTTTTCAGTACATACCACCCAATTTTTATGTAATTACATATCTAACACCGGAAAATATTTGCATACATAAGACGTACGCAACGCTGCGTATGTCAGGGGTTATTCAGGGGGTACAGAGGGTTATATTCAGGTTATACCCCCCCTGTAATATTCGTGTAACTCCCTTGTAACCTCCTTGTAACTTATTTGTACCCATGAAACTACAAAAGCCTGGAACTCATTTGTAGGTTACATGTAGTTTACAAAGAGGTTACAAGGGGGTTACAGAGGGGTATAACCCAATATAACCCTTCTGTACCCCCTGAATAACCCCTGGATGTACGCAGCACTGCGTTGCGTACGTCTTATGTACACAAATACTTTCCTTCTAACACCTAAGCCTTCTTACATTTATACCACTAAAAACATTTCATATCACTTCAAAATGTAAATGCCTCTTTTAACTTTTAACAAATGATGCATAGCAAAAGTAGTATATTTGTAAACATTAAATAAAGTTTAGATGTTACATATGTAAATACAAAAGAATTGGGTGGTACAAATGTAAATCCTCCTAATTTTTTTATTATAGGTTATTGCTGCACATATTTCCAATATAGTCCGAATAACTTCCAAGCAATCCAACAAATTGAAATGGGTATTACCATACGTCACAACGTGATTCCTTCTTTCCCGAGCTATAGAAATAAACAAATAGCTTTTTCTGTTGTGCCCTCAATTGTGTCCATTCTCCCTCTTGTATTCTCTAATATACTATTATGCAGCACATATTTGATAGATTTTTATTATCTTTTTAAAATTTCATCCACGTTTTCACCATCGCGTACATATCGACATCACGTTTTTCTTCGAATACTTGCGAGACTGTTGGTTGGCATCCATGACATAAGATCCCTCAAGTTGGGAGTTTGAATGCACAGTTGGCCTTAAGGAGGTGATACTTGAATTGTTAGGCACATTAAGAATGGCTGGAGACTCGTACAATAGCATAAGATATTCATAACTTATCATAATTTTATCCCCTCATAATTTTATAACTAATGTAATCCCTAAAATGAATAAGGGTTACTAACTTATGTCATTGATATTAATAATAAAAAATTAATTAATTTATTAAATTATCATAAATACTATTGGTTTGTAACCCCCTCGATGGATGGTGGTTAAATAGAGCATAATTTTGAGAATGAGTTTTTTGTCTTCCCAACACACCCCGTACATTTTTCTCCATCAGAAAGTACATAAAGTTTCAAAAGAATTAGAGAGAGGAACTCCATCTCTTCAAGATCAATTTCTTCAAGATCAAATTTCTTTATCATGAATTGTAAAAATCATGAATTTAAAAGATCTTGGCTATTAAGTATTTTTGAAATTTATATCATAAAGTTCAAACATGAATTTCTAACAATTAGATGTGGTCATCGACATGTATTAGTTAATGATTGGTAGGAAACATAAAAAAATTGGTAATAGTGACTCATCAACTTGTTATTGCTCTCGATAAAAGTGAGAATCATGCAATCAATTGGACAAAATGCCATACATCAGTGGCTAATGAATGTGAACTCACTCGCCAACAATTGACGAAAGTCGGCGAGGAAAATAGAAAGTTGAGTGATGGCTTGTGGAAGTGACTATTACTATCAGTGGATGACTAATGTGAAGTGAAGTTTATTTTGGTCATAAGCATGAGATCTTCCAAAGGTGTTTGACTCATTATATAGCCTAGAGAAATTTAAAGTATATTTTTCAATAATAAAAGCACACTTTGAGCTTGAAATCATAATATTTTGCCAGTATGATATGCCTGGATGGGCAAAATTGGGTTGAATATAAATTTGCTAAAGTCATAGTATGAAGGACAAGTAGAGATTTTTTTGTCCTTAATTTCCTCTTTTAAGAATGTTTCTTTTGATCTCTAAAAATTTGAATTATGAGCTCTAGCTTAACATAGACCACTTCAATTTTTTATATCACATAAAAAATGTTACTGCTATAACTTTTAAGAAAATAAAATAAATTTCTTCATGCATCAATAAAGTGACGCATGCAGATTTTCCTTTCATCTATTGTGGTGGACTGAACGTACCTTCAATCGATTTTAGCCATTACGATGTCTGCTGCTGCTGTAACCAGACCTCCATTTTTGCTCCCCTCCCAATTCGAGCTCGACACCTTTCCCACAACCACCTCTCCTCCTCCTCCTCCTCTTCTCACCATCAAAACTCCCACCTTGGAGCAAACCAAGCAACTCCACGGCCGCTTCCTCCGCGCTCAATTCCACCACCATCTTCTCCCTCATTTCTTCTCCCCCTCTGCCCATCTCAACTCCCTCATCTCATCCTACACCAAGAATAACTCCCCACTCGCCGCCATTAAGCTCTACGTCCACGCTCGAAAAACCTTCACTGCTGCCCTCGACTTCTTCACCATCCCCACCGTCCTCAAGTCTTGCGCGCTTTGCAGCAGCCTTTGCTACGGGGCAGAGGTCCACGGCTTCGCCATAAAGCTCGGTTTTGACTGCGACGCCTTTGTTCACAACTCCTTGATACAAATGTACTCGGAATGTCAGGATTTGAGTTCCGCCATCATGGTTTTCGACGAAATGCCTGTGAGAGATGTTGTCTCTTGGAGCACCATGATTCGGACCTATGGTAGAAGTGGCTTGTTTCAGAAAGCGATGAGATTGATCACAGAGATGTTCTTAGTTGGAGTGAATCCAAGTGAAATCGCCATGATCAACATGATCAATGCTCTCGCAGATGCGGAGGCATTAGGCCTGGGTCAGCAGGTTCATGCTTTTTTCATAAAGAGCACTGAGTTTAACCCACCAGATGTTAACATTCACAATGCAGTCATAGACATGTACGCAAAGTGTGGACGCTTAGATCTCGCGAGAAAAGTGTTCGACCGAACAGACCATAAGAGCATTGCGTCATGGACTGCGATGATCAACGGCTATGTTCGATTCGGAGAATTCGGCATCGCCATGGATTTACTTGGGAGAATGGCGAAACACAATGTGGAACCAAACCAGATTACAATGTTAAGCTTAGTCTCAAATTGTGGGATTCATAAGAAATTAAGGTTAGGGAAGTGGCTTCACGCTTACATGATTAGACAGAGTTTGGAAATCCCATTAGTATTGTTGGACATGTACTGCAAATGTGGTGATACTAAAAGTGCAAGAACTCTTTTTGATAGTATGAGTGTGAAAGATGTTTCATCATGGAGTGTTATGATCTCAGGCTATGCACAAGCCAACTGCTTCAATGAGCCATTCAAATTGTTTCGTAAAATGAAGAATGTCGGGGTGAAGCCAAACGAAATCTCCATCTTGAGCCTCCTATCACTGTGTGCTGATTTCGGGGCACTTGATCGAGGTAGAGAAGTTCATGCTTTTATAGACCAACAAGGGATTGAAATGAACATTGTTCTTCTCACTGCTTTAGTGGATATGTATGCTAAGTGTGGAGAGATGGAGGAGGCTTATAAAATCTTTAAGGGCGCTGAAGATAAAGATATTTGCATGTGGAATTCTATGCTGAATGGCCTAGCTATGAACGGACATGGGAATGAAGCCATCAAATTCTTCTTTCACATGGAATCCGCAAAAATCAGACCGAACGATATCTCATTTGTTGGAATTTTGAAAGCTTGCAGTCATGCGGGATTGGTGTTAGAAGGAAAGCGATTCTTCCGCCGAATGGTGGATGAATACGGATTGGTTCCGAGGGTGGAGCACTACGGATGCATGGTGGATCTCCTTGGACGAGCCGGGCTTCTTGACGAAGCTCATGAGATGATAAGAAGGATGCCGATTTCGCCGAATGTTGTAGTATGGGGCGCGCTTATAGCAGCTTGCAGGGTCCATAAAAACTCGAGTTTGGGAGAGTTGGCAGCAAGTGAGATTCATAAGTTAGATCCATCGAATGTCGGTTGCAACATTTTGCTTTCAAACATTTATGCTGCAGAAGGAAGATGGAGTGATGTTGCAGGAGTTAGGAGAGCTATAAAGGATGGGGGACTGAAGAAAGCTATAGCTGTGAGCTCTATTGAGCTAAATGACAGTATTCATGAGTTTGTTAATGGAGACGCATCTCATGCTCGGACTGAGGAGATTTATAATATGGTTGCTGAGATGAAGAAGGAGCTGAAACAGGCAGGCCATGTTCCAAATACTTCTGTGGTTCTGTTAAAAATAGATGAGGAGGAGAAGGAGAGCACGCTTTGCTTACATAGTGAGAATTTGGCGATTGCGTTCGGGCTTATCAGCACACGAGCTCATACTCCTCTTCGAATTGTGAAGAACCTGAGAGTTTGTGATGACTGCCATGAAAGTACCAAGCTTCTGTCAAAAATTTATGGGAGGGTTATAACTGTAAGGGATCGAAATCGGTACCATCACTTTGCTGAAGGATTCTGTTCTTGTGGAGACTACTGGTAAGTTTCCTGTAAATTGTTTGTATTCAAATTTTATAGCAACACAAATGATTTTATTCTATGTTCACCTTAAAATGCATTTTAGTGGAATAAAATTCTTCAAAAGTGATCAAATTTTGTGAAACTTAACTCCAAAGTTATAAAAAGTTATAATTACATCTAACTCACTTGTTTGCAAAAGACTACAATAACTTAAATTTCTTGTTGTAACATGGTAGATAATGGATGTGCAGAAACTTAGAGTCTGTTTGGGGCAGCTGCAGCTTATTGAATAATCTGCTGATAAACTAATTAAAAATAATCTGCTGATAAGTTTGATGCGATGACTATTACAAATTTTTATTTTTTTGGAAAAGCCAGACCACTACAAAAAATCTGCCCCCGCACCTAGATATGTGCGGTGTGAAACGCATAAGCTGCCAAAACGCAGTTTATCCAAACAGGTCAGGTGCATTTTCAAAACGCCATTGCACATTTTCAAAACGCGTGCATTTTCAAAACGCCATTGCACCAAATAAGTTGCCCCAAACGGACCCTTAGTGTGAACACTTTTAATTTTTTCTGGAAGTATAAACTATTTGGAAATATGCAAAAAAAACTTGTCAAACATACATAACTAAGACAACTAAACTCAATAGAAAATCAACATTACAAAATTTAATAATGTTTTTCGATATAATCTAAGCAATTTTATAATTTTGCCCTCCCTCAATGAATCTTTTCCCAAATATTAAAAAAAATTTTGCTCTCAAGAATGAAGCTAGTTTCACTCCTCATAAAAAATAATATCACTCAAATCAAATGGTTGTTGTTGGTAATCTTTGAAGTGGGAAGGAAAATCTTTGAAATGAAACCTATGCTTCACCTATCTCTAAAATATTTGAAAGGAAACTGATGCCTCAACTATCTGCAAGGTTTGTTAAGCTTGTGCTCTATAGATACTTTTTTAGGCATTTGCATACATACCGCCCAATTTTTATGTATGTACATATCTGATACCTAAAATTTACTTTTTATACTAATACCACCTATATCTTTCATATCGCATTAAAAACGAAAAAAAGGAAAACACTATCTTGACTTTTATACACCTTTTCATACACAAGTACAGCGGCATATATGTAAAAAAATTGAAATTGAGGTGTCAAGTATGTAAATACATAGGAAGTGGGTAGTATGTTTGTAAATGTTTCATACTTGCGCAACTTAATCATATTGTGATGTCTCCGGTGAACAATGAGTGCTTGCACAATTAAAAGCTCGGGCTTCCTTTCATTTTCTTTTCATCATTTTTTATTTTATAATCTTATTTTAATTTTTGATAAAGTTAGAAACTGAATGTGTTGAAACCCGATTTGTCTGTGAATCATACCTAAGGGTTAGAGCATAATACAGGAGAGAGTGAAAATAGGTGGGAGAAGTGCACAGTAATGAAAATGTATTATTCATTAGCCTTTTTTTCTCATAAAATTATCTCTTATTTATAGTAGAGGGAGTGTAATATATGAAGTTGCCAATTTTTCGCTGCTGTAATAGGGGTGTTACATGATATTTTAGGTTTTTTACATGTATGTGCCTATGGTTTGGCTAACCTCTGACTCGGTCGGCTGAGCTCCACGGGCTTTGGTTCGACAAGCTCTAATCGTTCGACTATACTGAGAGAGGTTGTCGATCGGCATTCGATGGATGACAAGGCCGGCTCGTTCGGCTTGGTTTTTCTGATCAACTGTTCTAATGTGACTGCCGACCGTTGATCCCTAATGAGATGTTCCCATTAGTTGAGCTATGTTAGACCATTGAGCAAAGTGTGAATCACTGTAACTCTATAAATAGCTCATTTCTCAACAAAGTTGTCAGAGTGATGATTTAGATGCATTGTTACTTCTTGGTCTCTGATAAGGAGCCTTTGGGTATCCGTGAGATCACTAATGATATTGAGGAGTTGAGTCTTTCCTCATGTTCGGACTCATACCATCT